GGGAGTTGAAGTCCACCACAGCTGGAGGGCCAAAGGTTCCCTACCCCTGACCTAGAGCTTCGGAGAGCTTCTCTTCAACCATCTCAAAGCTCCCTGCTTGAACGGTGATGGCAGGATCGTCAGCATAGATGAAGCTCTCTGTCCCTTCTGGCACTGGTCATTTGTGTCGATGTTGAACCTGGATGGGGCAAGCACGCTCCCCTGAGGCAGGCCGTTCTTCTGTTTCCGCCATCTGCTTCTCTGGCCCTGGAACTCAACAAAAAAGCTCCTGTTTTGTAGCAGGTTTCCTATGAGGCGGGTGAGGTGGTCGTCCTTTGTGGTATTATACATTTTTCTCAGGCGGTGGTTGACGGTATCATAAGCTGCTGACAGGTCTATGAAGACAGCTCCTGTGATCTGCTGCCTTTGAAAGCCATCTTCGATGTGCTGAGTCAGGTTCAGCACTTGCGATGTGCAGCTTCTGCCTTTCCTGAAGCCAGCTTGCTGTGGGATCAGACAGGGCTCTATTTTTTCCGTAGCTCTATGCAAAATAAGTCTCTCCAAAATTTGTAGAGGTGGCGCAACAGAGGGATTGGTCTGTAGCTTTCGGGTCATTATTGTCCATAGTTCATCTTATTCATAGGAAGGTCCATAAAGGAAAATCTATCCCTGAGGGGGAAAGAGAGTCCCTTGTTTGTGAGATGGGGGACCATCAGGAGCCCAGGTATGTCTCAGGTGGGAAAAATCAAATACTTTCGTGGCATGATTTTCAGTAATAAATTGGTTACCTTCTGCTATAAACATATGAAAATAGGACATAAAGCCTTGATTAAATGATACACACCAATTTGACCAAGGCTTAACCCTTATTATCCAGTCTGGTGTCCTTGCCCTTAGCATAACTATAAGTCAGTGTTTCTCAACCTGGAGGGGTCTCGAGGGGGTGTCAGAGTGGTCACCAAAGACCACCAGAAAACACGGGATTTTCTGTTGGTCATGGAGGTTCAGTGTGGGAAGTTTGGCCCAATTCATAGGGTTCAGAATGCTCTTTGACTGTAGGTGAACTATAAATCCCACCAACCACAACTCCCAAACGTCAAGTCTTATTTTCCCCCAAACCCCATCATTGTTTACATTTGGGCATATTGACTATTCGTGCCAAGTTTGATCCAGATTCATAATTATTTGAGTCCACAGTGCTCTCTGGATGTAGGTGAACTACAACTTCAAAACTCAAGGTCAATGCCCACCAAACCCTTCCAGAATTTTGTCTTGGTCGTGGGAGTTCTATGTGCCAAGTTTGGTTCAATTCAGTTGTTGGTGGAGTTCAGAATGCTGTTTGATTGTAAGTGAACTATAGATCCCAGCAACTACAAATGTCAAGGTCTAGTTTCCCCAAACTCCACCAGTGTTCACATTTGGGCATATTGAGAATTCGTGCCAAGTTTGGTCCAGATCCATCATTGTTTGAGTCCACAGTGCTCTGTGGATGTAGGTGAACTTCAACTCTCAAACTCAAGGTCAATGCCCACCAAACCCTTCCAGTATTTTCAGCACTTGAAAGGCAGCAGATGATTATTGGTTATAGATGTTGTCTTGTCTTTTTGGTTTCTGCATATGTATGTATGTATTGGGATTTGATTCTGTTGTGAGCCGCCCGAGTCCTTGTGGAAGGGGGCAGGATATAAATAAAGTGTATTTAGTATTATTATTATTATTATTATTATTATTATTATTATTATTATATTTTTTGTTATACTATTATTATTTTATTTTAATTTTAT